TATCGAGAGAGAGAGAGGTTGAACCAAACTGTGAAGCAAAGTCTAAAAAGTCCAAGAGAGAGAACCAACTTGATGTCCTCACTTTATATGCAAAGTATATGGATTTCGTATATGCAATTTCTGATGTATCATGTATGTTATTTTCTTCCTATTTTGAATTTAAGTCTTTGCAATGTACAAATCAAAGCTATTCCACACTGTATAAAGATTGGATGTAAATGAAATAAGTCATGTACGAGGTATTGTAACTCTTCCCAAACTCAGTTTCAATATAAAAAGCTCTCAATTCTTATGCGATCTTGAGCGAGTTTGATCCCTGATTGTGTGCTATTCTCTGGTTTGTTTTGATTTGAGGCATATGCCCTTTAAATCCTTTGTTTAGTACACTTTTTGGCAAATCTCAGCTACCAATCAGAAATTCAAAACCTTTTTCTTAGCTAATGTTTTTGAAAGCATAGAAACAGTTTGTAAAATATATAATAATGGTTTATCAAGATTCATGATGGGTTTTGGCAAAATTTTACGTTGGCTACCTACCTAACACAACCATGCCTTTTTACCCAGGCATGGGATAGGATAAGGGAAAAGAAACTTCAATAAGGAAACTTAGTGGTAGAATGATGAGGTTCAGAAGGCCATTAGCGAAAAACAATTATGTTATAAAACTTGACAGTGTAATAGAAACAATCAAAACGTAGAAGAATATAAAAATGCTAAGAAAAAAGCTAAACAAATAGTAAGCACAAGAGTAAGCTAAACAAATAGGAAGCACAAATAGTTAAGTTAAACTTAAGGCATATGATAATATATACAATAACCTAAGCACAAGAGAAGGTGAAAAAGATATCTTCAAATTAGCCAAAATAAGAGAGAAAAAGTGTTGGGATCTAAACCATATTAAATGCATTAAGAGTGAGGATCAAAGGGTCTTGTTGAAGGATGACAAGGTTAACGAAAGGTTGAGTCTATTTTCAAATATTATTAAATGATGAACACAATGGAAACATAGTGGTAAAAGTGACTGTTGGTACAAGTGACGACGGAAGTCATAGATATATTCGTAGGATTAGGATGTCGGAAGTGAAAGAAGCTTTGAAAGGGATGAAGATAGAAAGGCTTTCGGACCATATGGTATCTCGATAGAGGTTTAAAAGTGCATGGGAGAAATTGGTATTGACTAGCTGACGAAGCTGTTCAACAAGGTGTTGGGAACAAAGAAAATGCCAGACGAATGGAAGAAAGGTATTGTGGTACCTATTTACACAACAAATGAGACATACAAAATTGTGCAAACTATCGAGGGATCAAACTTATGAGCTATAGTATGAAGCTCTGGGAGTGAGTCATTGAGCAACGACTAAGGTATGAAACAAGTGTATCTAAACACCAATTTGGTTTTATGCCTGGAAGGTCAACAACTAAGGCTAGTTTCCTACTTAGGCAATTGATTGAGAAGTTTCGGGCGAAAGGAAAAGACCTCCACATGGTCTTTATTGATCGAGAGAAAGCTTATGATAGAGTACCTCAAAATTTGATTTGGCAGTTGTTGAAAAGAAAGGCGTCTCTAGACACTACATCGACTTGGTGATATGTATGTATGATGGAGCGCTAACTAATGTACAAACAACTAGTGGAGAGACGAGTGAGTTGTTAGTGACAATAGGTCTACATCAAGGGCCAGCATTGAGCCCGTACCTCTTTGTCTTTGTTATGGTCGACTTAACTAGGCACCTACAAGATGATGAGGTAGCGTGGTGCATGTTGTTCGTAGATGACATAGTTTTGATTGATGAGACTCGAAATGGTGTCAACACAAAGTTAGAACTTTGGAGGGATGCTCTAGAATCCAAAGGTTTTAAAATTAGTCGGACAAAGACAAAGTATATGGAGTCCAAGTTTAGTAATAATAGGAATAGAGATGAGGTAATAGTTACCATTGATGGTCAGGAAGTACAAAAAAGACTGCTCTTTCGATATCTTGAGTCAATAATCGAAGAAAATGAAGAGATTGAGGAACATGTCGCACACAAAATTAGAGTTGGATGGGCAAAGTGGAGATGTGCAACTGGAATTTTATGTGATCGTCGCATACCAATGAGGCTAAAGGGCAAGTTCTATAGGTCAACAGTGAGACCTGCTTTGCTCTATGGGGCAAAATGTTGGATGGACAAAAAACAATATACCTATAGAATGAGTGTAGCGAAGATGAGGATGTTGAGATGGATGATTGGCAAGACAAGAAGGGATAGAGTTCGAAATGAATCTATTTGAGAGAATTTAGGTGTGGCACCAATAGGAGATAAAATGAGAGAGAGTAGACTTAAATGGGCTGGCCATGTGTGGCGGCAACAATGTATAACTCTTGTTAGGAGGTGCGCGTTAGTTCAAGTGGAATGATTGAAATGGGCAAGGGGTAGGCCCAAAAGGATGTGGTTGGAAGTAATTTGAAAAGATATGGGGACTTATGGCTTCACTGTGGATATGGCCTTTAATGGAGCAGAATGGAGAATCAGGGTTCATGTAGCCGATCCAATTAATTGAGAAAAGTCTAAAATGATAATGATGATGATAATAATAATGGTATTAAGTGGTTTCCTGTATGATAAGATGTGGCAAAATTTTACGCTGTCTGCCTACCTAACGGAACTCACATCCTTTACCTGAGCTTAGGTGGGCTAGCCATATGTAGAGTAGACCTAATACAACACCGGTTAGGAAGTGCAATTTGGTTCAAGCGAAAGGCTTTAAAAGGGCAATTGGAAGGCTCAAAAAGACATGGATAGAAGTAATGAGAAAAGATATCGTGACTTTTGGTCTTACTGAGGGTTTATGGCCCGTGGCAGAAGAATAATGAATATGATTCATGTAACCGACCCCAAATAATTGGGATAAGGCTTGTATAATGATGATGGAGTAGTTTCCTGCAAGTTTTTTAGTGTTGGTATTGTTTTGTTTTTTTTGGTTCTCTCCTGGTATAGATATTGAAAGACTTACTATACTTGTTTGGAATTCTATATTCAAACTATCAAACAGTTGATTAAAGAAAGAGATTGTATACAATGAGACCATTTACTTTTGTTACAAGGAGGTCACAATTATTTACAACCATCTGATGTGAAATTTGATAGCTTGGGTGTGCCACAAAGTTCTAGAAAATTTCTTTTGAACTTTGAGCTTGGTCAATGAAATAATTGTAGCCATCCAATTTCACATGCAATGGTCAATATTAATTGTGACCACCTTATACCAAAGGTAAATGGTCTCATTATATACATCCCTTAAAGAACTTGTTCTGAAAATGATGAATCTTATAGTGTTCTTGAGATAAATATTTGGAGGGTATCTGTAACCTTGTACAAACCTTATTTTGGATTTGGAGTTTCCTAAACGAGGTGTGCAAAAAAAAAAAAAGGGATATTTAGAGAAAATGAGACCTTAGTTTCCATATGATACTTAAGATCTGAATTGAGAAAGAAGAATCCAAGAGTTTACCATCATTTTTACCAGTAAGTTGCGTAAGTTTCAAGAACAAGAGATGCAATAGAAGAGTTACCCAAGGATAGTTTACTTATGGATTTTTATCAGGTCTTTGATTTAAGACTTCCTATTGTGGCTTGTACAGAAGCCATTGTTCTGGGGAGCGAGGGAGCATGTATATTGGCACATTTCTGGTCTTCATTTGAAATCCTATATGATAAAACCCTAGATATGTGGAGACTGGAATCTTTTCCTCTTTCCAACATTCCATGCCAGCCTGTTGATTCTACCAGCCAATTTCAAGGCTTCAGCCTAAGTCCTCCTCCTCTTATACATGATTCCCTGAGAAATGAATGCAATCTTCTGTCCTTCTCTTGTCTCAAGTCTCATCCCAACATTTGTCCTGTCCTCCACTCTCCCAAGGCCTTATGCTGCCTCCCTTTAAATTTTGATTCTCTATGGTCTCGTGCATCTTTCTGGTTGTGAACCCGTGTGTTCTTTTTGTTGGGACCCATCTAATGTATCCCTTTTTTAATCCTCGTGATCATTTGTTAAATAATGTTCAATAGCAATTTCCATTTTTTACTATTCTACAAAGAATCTAACTACATGAAAAGGAGGATGCGTTTTTGCAAACTAGTTATTGCACTTGCTAAATTATGGTACTCTTTGCTTTTCAGTTTGGTGAGGGAGTTGTTGAGAGTAAGTTTCTGAGTTGAGAGTCAGAATTCTTTCCTTTTTCCAACATTCCATGCCAGCCTGTTGATTCTACCAGCCAATTACAAGGCTTCAGCCGAAGTCCTCCTCCTCTTATGCATGATTCCCTGAGAAATGAATGTAATCTTCTATCCTTCTCTTGTCTCAAGTCTCATCCCAACATTTGTCCCGTCCTCCACCCTCCCAAGGCAGTTATGCTGTCTCCCTTTAAATCTTGATTCTTTGTGGTCCCGTGCATCATCCTGGTTGTGGACCCCTGTGTTCTTTTTGTTGGGACCCATCTAATGTATCCTTTTTTTGCTCCTCGTGATCATTTGTTAAATAATGTTCAGTAGCAATTTCCATTCTTTACTATTCTACAAAGAATCTAACTACATGAAAAGGAGGATGTGTTTATGTTATTGCACTTGCTAAATTATGGTACTCTTTGCGTTTCAGTTTGGTGAGTGAGTTGTTGAGAGTGAGTTTCTGAGTTGAGAGTCAGAATTCTGTGTGTGAGTTTTAATGAACCTACAGCTCAAATGCACACGTTGTTGTCTATTTATATATGAACGTGTGTATGTCTGTGTGTGCATGCCATTTTTTATATTTATATGTGTGTAGAATACTTGATGTTGGTTGATGGTTGGGTCTTTCATGTTGAAAGGTAATAATAGAAGACCGTCATTGCAGGTGAAATCAGAGCCACAAGAAGGTTCATCGACACCCACCCAAACAAAGGCATGGCAACAATTATTTACTGGCTCATCAGCATCTTCAGCCAGGCCCAATAGTTCTTCCCTGAGCCATTTGCAGTTTGATTTATCAGTATCTTCTAACACCAGCAAACCAGTTTTAAGCAGTTCTATGGATACTAACCCAGTCTTTCTTCCAGCCTCTGATGCCTTGTTCCATCCTACTCAAGAAGAAGTTGACTTCTTTGAAGACCCATCTTATGTTCCTGATCCAGAGTTCTTACTTGGGCCGGTTTCAGAGTCATTAGACAATTTTTCATCAGACCTTGGAACTGGGTTCTCACCAAAGAGGCTCTCAGAAGGATCTCATGGATTTGATAATAGCATCTCTGCTTCAGATATCAAAAGGCCTTCTCCAATCGAGTCCCCTTTGTCTAAATTACTATCCTCAGGTATATCTACTGAGATAAATCATGTTCCTGGACAACACAGAGAGACATTAGATTTACCCTCACAACATTCAGCTCAGACAAACAACTTTGATGAGCAAAGGTCATGGCATATGTGGGATACACCACTCGGTCAAGATTCACTTGGGTTAATCTATACACCACCCCCAAACTGGCTGTCCCCACATGCAAGCAATCCTTTTTCTGATTCAGTGCCTGTTCATGATGATTTGTGGTCAAGAAATGCCGTCTTCCAGCCATTGACAGGTGATGCAGATAGCCGTTCTGCTTCCCCTTGCTTCAGGAAAGAGGTTTCTCGGAGTCCAGATGGACTGAGTTCTGATACTTTTGTTAGATCAGGGGGTCCTCCACTTGGTGATTCTCCATCCTGTTGGTCCAGGTGAGTTCCCTTTACTTTTCTTTCTTGATATGACTCAAATATGTTGTCATTTCGGTTGAATGTGTCGGTGCCGAAAGTGGTTTTTTAGATTTTATCTTTTGTTTGAGTTGCTGTATGCTTGCATGCTTATGGTACTTGCTATAAACACGCACATGCATATATAAATATATAGGTGTATGCTTTTTGGTGAGTTCTGTCATAATGAGCAAAGGATAGATGATACATCTCATACAAAAGAAGATGTCTAAATATGGAAAAGTGTCAAAGGAGTGGTAGACCATCCTAAGTAAAAGAGCTACTCTATCCACTCCCCTTTTGGCTTCAGCTTCAATACCCTCTTTGGCATTGATAACGGCGATTGTGGTTATTGTTATCATTGTTTAACTTAAAATCGATGTCGTTACAATAGGATCTGAATCGACAATGTTCTCCTGTATGAATATTGTAAATATGGAGCAGAAATAATTATTGTTTTGGGGTTAGTTTGTAGGAAAAACATGCTTTATAGGGCTGGGAGTGCTTATGCATTGTTATGTCATTTTTTCGAAGAATTTCATGTGAGTTGAGTTACAACACTCAACCTGAAAATATGACATGTTGCTGTGTTCAGTATTTAGCAGCGCTTGGAGATTCAAAAGAAAAAACTGATAGATGTATTGCAAGCATGCTGAAATTTCAGATAATGCTGTAAAGCTCCAATTCCTCATGAAGAGTCAATCTCAACCATGCCATGACAATCATTCTAGAAGCTTAGGGGATTATTAATGCATAATGTCTGTTCATCCTTTCCAGCAGTTAGATTTCATAGTGTGTCCATAGACATTGGTGTCCCCTCTCCTGAAAGAATGTGTAAGAAATGTAAATTAACCAAAACCCATTTGATTACTCTTACCACTTGTACACTTTAATTTGGTCACATCTTGTTTAGAATGAAATTTATTTGCTTTATGTGTTTTCTTCTGCTAAACTCAACTGATTCTTTTATTTCATGATTACTTGATCTTTCAGTGTCCTGTTGTAGGTAACTTGCAAGCCTTCTTTTAGAAACTAGAAAAAACTGCCTTTGTTTATCAAAGGTTCCCAAACTTTACTGCATCTTAGGGTTGCATGATGCGAACCCCATAGTTTTGCAAATTTCTGGGATGCAGAGTTACGCTTAAGTCTTAGGGTTGATTGGTACATTAAGAATTTGGGGATAAAATTCAATTTGGTTAGGGATTTTAATTTAACTCAAGTAGTTCTAGAAAACCCGGGAGTTTGTCAGTGTTCCTGAAGGTGTAGTATAGGATGTTTTTTTGAAATATAAAGCAGAGTCTTAAAAGTTGGGCATCATCAAGAGTAGCACTAGGATGGGATGGATGACCTCCTGGGAAGTCCTTGGGTCAAACCCCTTTCTGTTGCGGCTGCCACTTTTATTTTGTGTTGCAACCTTTTATAGTCAACTTATTCCCCAAAAAAAGAAGTTGGAGCATCTAAGGGAACTTTTCTTTTAAAGGGCCTTTGTAAATTTGGGGCATATTTAAGAAACATCTTACGATTTCTAATTGAAGTTCAAAACCTTAGCTTAGCTTGTGAGTCCACCTCTTCTTGACTCAGTGAGGCTCGACCAACCTCTTATAAAATTGGAAAAGAAGGAATTGGGGTGGACTGAGCCTGAGGACGAGATAAGTTGGTGAAAAACATGAGGGAGGGAGACTTAAGGTAATGAGAGGATAATCTGAGAATCCAAACATTGGCAGAGACTTGATAATTAATTTCTTAGATAATGACAAATGGTATCCAAAGAAACTTTCAGGTTTCTAGAGACATGTTGATTATGAGGGATGCCATTGTTTTAAAGATCAATTAGGCTTTTTTTATTTCTAGAATATTATGCAGATCCAAAGGACCTTTTCTTGATCTAATTTGCTTTAAAATTTGAACCAAGATAGTTGAAAATATATGATTTATGTCTACAGAAAATAGCTACTAACTGATGGAGAAAGAGAAATCAAATAAAGAGAGAAGAAAGATAGGTGCGTGAGACAGAGAGAAGAGACAGTGGTGTGAGAAGAAGAGAGTGAGAGATAAATGATGTGATCCCCTTGTTGGGATCAGTCTATAGTTACTGGGATTGCCTAGCGATCCTAAGATCCTGGAAGGGGATCTTTTTACAGATCTCATTTTTTAGAATTACGGATATCAATCACTAGAACATAGGGATCGAATTGCTTAGATTTAATATTGTATAGATATTGAATAACATCCCCCTCAATTAGTTTTTTCAGCTGTTGAATTATAAGCAGAGGGCTTGTTGTATTAGCGTGCAACACCATAAGTGCACATGCCAGGGAACTATACAAAGTGGAAGATATCATTGAAAACCCATATAAGAAGCGCATAGTAACTGGTCTATGGTGCTATTCGTATCTAATTTGGGAACTCGGTCCTATCTTATTTGATCCCCAGAACACAGGGATCGAGTTCCTTAGATTTAATATTGTACGGGCATCAATCCTTATCATAAAAAGCTTCCAATTAGCCTTGATCTATCGATCCCACCCCCGATGCCAGAACCCTTTTCAATCCCATTCCCAACGAGTACCGATCAGTCATGTTCTATATTAGCAGTAATGGTCAAAATTATAGAAAATGCCCTTGTGTGAGTTTGTAACCCACACTTAACCATGTAGACTCAATTATTCCATTTATTTCCCTGACTTACTGCTGTACTTTTAACAGAGTACTTTCTTATTCACTGCAAAGGGCACTTAGAACTTCAAGGAAATGCCTTTTACGTATCAGTGAGATAGATTTTGACCATTCAACAGTGTTTTCATTGACCATGCAAGTTATGAGTTTTTAACTATAGGTCAATTAAGTTTAATTAACTGCCTAACACTGGCTTCCAAGTTTCACATAGGCTAATTGTTTATATTTGTTTCAGCACTAGCTTTTGTTTGGCATCATGGGCTAGGCTTCTTAAATATGTCCATATTATGTCTTACTATTATTGGGTCCATACTCCGTATTGAAGGACTGGAAAATAAGCATATTGAAGGAAGGGATAATAAGGTTTTACCTTATACTAATATCGAATCTTCAGTTCTTACAAGTACTATCTATCAATTTAGAAACCATACAGCTTTTCCTTTCCATATCATCGTAAAGTATTGTTTACCATTGTTCTCTTATTCATTTATGATGTGTAGGACCAATGATTGCCTATTTCCATAACATGGTAAAGTATTGTTTGTCATTGTTCTCTTATTCATTTATGATGTGTAGGACCAAGGATTGCCTTATACACTGTTATCTTTTGTTTGCAGATGATTGTAATTGTTACATCTCTTTTTGCCTCTGAAATTCAATTATGAAAAACTCCACAAACGTGACCTTTTTTGCTATTCAGTCAATGCCCTCCATACTCTAAATCAATTTCTTGTAGTTTTATCATGGAGTCGTTTTTCTTAAGTCATGTCCTTTTTTTTTTTTTTTTTTTGTGCAGTTTCTGGAACCCGTTTTTGCTTCTGGCCACTATGATAAACACCTCCTCTGTTTTAGTCTGGATCATTGACTTTTTAGTTTTTTTACAAGAGTCTACTCGAAAGGGAATGTTGTCTCTATATAGTTTTATGCACTAACCTATTGGTATATCCTCTAGTAGAGATTGCGACTTTTGGTTATTTTCTTTTATGCATATCTGGTGAAGATCTATCTTTTTATCTGTGTTCCTAATCATTTATCTATTGATCCATCCTGCTATCCATCGATTCATCTATCTATCCCTCGATTCGTCCATATGTCTAATTTACTTGTAGATTCTATATATGTTGTGAAGCATTAGGAGTTTTTTAAAAAATATATATATATTGCACTAAACAATTAATATGGTTGTCTTATTTCCTATGATGTGCAGGAATGTGGGGGCGTGTAACGTCGATTGGGGTGTACCTGGTGGTGCAAGGGAAGGGGTAGGGAAACCCTCAACAAGGCCACATATAGGGGGCCTTTTTTCTACCTCGGATGTACACTCACCTTGGTCATTTAATTGAAACATACATATAAGTAGTACATATAAATCAGTGAAATACACCACCACAACTCCCTCCACTACTGGTATCGAAGGAACTGGGTCACCATTGCATCTGCTTCTTAATGAGATAGATCCATGGCCATTGTGCCTTTGAGCACAGGCGGTGGCCCTGCCTTCTGGTTATTAGTGGAAAGAGTGGAGGTTGGGTCTTTTTCTTTAACCGGCCGGGCTTGTCAAGAAGCTTTTCTGTCATCTGCGTTTCCATTTACTTGCATATTTTTATTTACTTGTGAGAAGTTTAACAGAGTTAGGCAATTGTACACACGAAGGCCTTCTAAAACTCAATAGTGCAGGCTACAGTATATTCAACAAAGGTTTTTGTTGGACCACTAGTTTCCGGAAGAATACCAGTAGGTGGGATTTCTCTTCCCCAAAAGGAAACATAAGAAAACATATCTGACTAACATGACGCCGTTGTTTTTCTGTTCATGACTTCACTAAACTGTTATTTATCTTCTTTAGTTCACAGGCAAAACCATGGTTGAGGGCTTGGTGAGATCTTTATGTATATCCTAACAAATCATTGAGTTTGTTGACATAGATGTTTGAGAAACTGCATCTTTAATTATAGGGAAAGGTTTCTATACTTCCCCCACATCATAGAAGATCTATGTTTCTCTAACCATCCAGCCGTCCAATTTTGATCAAGAGAGCAATTTACCATTTGATCTTAGATTCAACGTCTTTAAGTTTTTTTTTTTTTTTTTTATGCAAATTGTATGGATATGAAATTTGGTACACCATCTTCTCATTGGGACGCATCTATAAAAAATATTAAAACATAATTTTTAGATAAAATATAGTGACCAAAAGATCTTTTGAATCATTTAGGGGTATTTTGATCATTTTATTTTATTGGAAATATTATTTTTATATTTTTTGTTAGTGCGAGTTTAATAGAGGATTGGACTTACAATATTTGTACAGCCAAATGAGAACCAAGGTGTAACTTCATTAGTAGTTAAAGCTGAATCAAATAGTAAAATAGATTTCCTAGGGCCTTTTATTAAGTTATTTGCAATCCAACCACTGCATAAGAAGATTGGCATCGTTGTTGACCTAAAAATTGAAAGTGATAATTTGTGGTGTTTTTTGGCACTAATTTGAAGGTCTTGCATACCATATACTGCATAATTTATCTGTGATGCTGTATTGGAAATGGTCTCTATGCCCTTGGAAAATTGGGCAGACTAGCATGTGATTTCTCATGCAATCCAGCATTTATTCAAATTAAGAACAAAATTGTGATATTATTTTAGAAGATTCTCTCTCTCATGCGCACACACCAGTATTCGCAAAATCGAACTAGAATGATTAAACTGGACATGGGTTTGAAAGCGATTTAAAGAAAATAGTTTTTTTTAAAGAAAATGATCTTTTTAAAAAAAAAATGTTTTTTTTTTTTTAAAAATGATCCTTTTTTTTAAAGAAAATGAAGAAAAAATTATGTTATATATAATATAAGCTCTTATTTTTATCAACTAAGTAGTAAATGGCACATGGTTAGTAGGTCTAGTAGTAAATGGCATATGGTTGGTAGGTGACTTCATTCAAAGAGGATTCAAGTAAATAATTTTGAACCAACGAAATCTTAAAAATACACCATTTAACGTATTTGATATAAATTTTAACTAGTATTCTATTTAAAGTTTAAAATACTGGGTGACCACCAAAACCAGGCAAAACCGGAATCGGTCTTTGGCCAGTTCTGATCTAACCGACCGGTTAGCGATTAGATCGGCCTGTTTTGCGAACAGTGACAAACATAGACACACCCGCCCACACACACCCTGACTCTCTCTGTGCTCAAACACACACATATATACGCACGCTTTGACTCTCTCTTTGTCAAATACAGACACACCTTAACTCTCTCTTTAACACACATACACACTGATTTAGATCTCTCTTTCTCTCTGACACACGTACACACATGCACCCACCCACACACCCTGACTCTCTCTCTGCTCAAACACACATACATACACACACCTTGACTCTCTTTCTCTGTCAAACACACATACACACACCCTGACTCTCTCTAACACACATACACACTGATATTAGATCTCTCTCTCAATAGAAAGACAAGGTAGAAGGCACTAAGGAGATCCAAGGCACAAGAATTATCAGTCTGTATTGTGGATTAAGTTCCAAGAAATTACGTCTCTTTACATGACAATACACGTGCACTCATTTTTTGAGCACAAGTGCCAATGTATTCGATTGGATCCTTGCCACAATCACATGCATGTGCATGGATGATTGCAATTATTACATAAAATCTCATGCATGTATGTGCTTGAATATTAAATATTGGTTCTATTGATAGTATTCTAAGTAATATATTACAAGATATTAAGTTTATTGTTGTTGTTAGTACTACTACTACTATACGTACCTAACCTAAAACTAAAACTTAAACTAAATAATAAGTAGTAACTAATTACTTTACTTCTACTTA